CTTCGCAAATGAAGCAGTTCTCAAACTGTGTTCCGCGGAACCCCGAGAGATCAAGAGACACCCGTCGACAACTTTGATCAGTGTATTCTGGGAGTTATGTTAGGTTATGATTCCTGTGAGATGGATTGTGGAGAATAATTTATTTTATACTAAATTTTAATGAAAGTGCGTGCTGATCGCCTTGTTTAAAAACACTTCGTCAACTGCATAGGCTATTTGACGTCGGTTTTTAAGAAATATGGAAGTTGAATACGAAGTCTATAATTAAACTTTCAGATCCCCTCATAACCAGTTTTAAAACTCGTCATTCCTTGCTTTCGTACCTCCTTCAATCGTTTTAAAAGCCCAGTGGTAACTATATGTACCACCTGCTTTAACAATAAATAACTGCATTTTGTACGTATTGGTTTCGTACGATTCTCAGTCCAAACAGCGATTATTTCTTTAAACAGCGTTAACTATTTGATATTCGTAATGGTGAAGAGTTGTGTTTTCTTCGCGGTACGGGCTGAATTCTTAAATGTTATTCAGACGAGCTTCGGCTGCAAAGAGTGGAGTAAACGGCCGATATGCACACTGGAGCCATTTCGTGGCTTTGTACTGTGCAATGTGCAGAGGGCTGTTCCTGCCTCCTAGAAATCAGTCTGAGGTTCTCTCTCGGACATCGCCATGTTCTGGCCCTATTTTGGTGGTGGCCGGGTTTCGCCTTCTTGCGAACACGAGTCCATTTTCTCAGCGCGGGCGAAGGCTCCCGGTAACGAGAGCAAATTTCCTGGAGGCTTTGTCAGGTACGGTGCAATCGCGGCCTTCGGGGTTCCGAAATGTGGGCTTACTTCTCCGGTGTGTTCCAAATTGCAGATGTATGGTCGTTACACCAAAGACCTCGGTGAGTACGCCAAAGAAGAGGCACGGAAGGTGAAGGCTCTCGAGCGCAAGAGGAAGAAGGAGGACCGTCTGCGTGACAAGGAGCTGCAGAAGTACCAGGGGAAGTGTGCGAGCAAGCTCATAGCGGCGTCCAGTTTCGCGTGGCGCCACACGTTTGCCAAGCTGGGGGAGGACTGGGTGTTCCTCGCCCTGCTCGGGATCCTCATGGCGTTCATCAGCTTCTTCATGGACCGTGGAATCAGCATGTGCAACAAGGGTATAGTTCGACTGGTTTATCGTGACCTTTAAACTGCGCACAACCAACATACAATTTGATTATTTAGTCTTGGCTGCTGGATGGGTGTGAAGGGAAGGGGGAGTTGGATTCTATTTTTATTTATGGATCGTTTGACGACGCCGTGAACAGCTTCAAATGATAGGATGATAAATGAACGATTTGTTGGAAAGGATGTGTTAATGGCCGAATTTGAGGATCTAACCCAGAATTTGCTCGAGGGTACTGAGGAAAATCGTGATAAACCTGAGTCGGGGATGTCTCCAGGTAGAGATGTGAACCAGATCTCCTGAATATGAATGTCGTGTCCGAGAAGGAGAAGGGTGTTGAACATAAACTGAATAATTTGACCTGCTCGTAGCTTGCATGTGACAAACCTGCATGAATCCCTGCTTTATGATAGTCGAGTTACTTACGTTTATGTGCCACATTCCAGCTCGTATCTGGCTGTACAAGGACCTGGCAACACACCCAGTGGTGCAGTACGTAGCTTGGATCAGTCTCCCGGTGTTCCTGATCCTCTTTTCTGCTGGCTTCGTCCACATCGTAGCTCCACAGTCAATAGGTAACTTGGCCCTTTCTGTGTTCTTAAGACTCTTTCCTGGGTCGCACCTCTGTTTCAGTAGAGGGAGTGAGTGAGTGTCTGTCACTTATTGGGCAACTGTTCCAGGCTCAGGCATACCCGAGATGAAAACGATCCTGCGAGGAGTGGCCCTGAAGGAGTACCTGACATTTCGCACCCTCATAGCCAAGATTGTGGGGCTGACCGCAACCCTCGGGAGTGGCATGCCGCTCGGTAAAGAGGTGAGTTTCTGGCGTTGTAGTGCGTCTCATAAACGTGAGAGCTCAGATTCTGGTATTGTGGCAGTGGCTGCATAGTCTTAGTGCCATTGGACGGTGCCCCACACTTGCACGCTTTTTGTGCAAACAGTAATGTCAGTAGTTCTGTAAGTTACTACCAATGTTTTTTGGAGGAACATTCTGCCTTCATCTTTATGGTAGAATCATGACTTACAACACCACAGTCTGTACTTACGTTTAAAGAAACATGACATTAATTATGACTGGGCAAGAAGAAGGGAACAGTGTTAAAGTATGAATAGATTAAAAGGGATGTGAAATGGATTCAAATGGCTCAGGATAGGGTCCAGTGGTGGTTCTGTGTTGACAGTAACTAAACTCCAGAATCCATGTGGTAGAGTTGGTCACTTGGTTGCATCATTAGTTTATTAGTTAGTCTGTTTGCCCATTAGTGTTTACAGTAAGAACTTTATAGTGTTCTGATGTTTCTGTTCTAGCATACGAGTATTAGTGATAGTTGAAGTGTCCAGAGCACTTCTTGATCTCATTTCTTGCAAGTGTGCACTGTGCCAGAATGTTCTGAAGGAGCCAGATTCAAGTTTGCCTCAGTACCTTTCCTGAACACGGTGATAAACGGGCAACGACCGTCACCACCGTGCAATGCTCAGTATGGCGTGGTCTTCACGTCTTTTAACTTAATTCCTGAGAATTTAATCATTTTCAGATTAAGCAATTAATTTTCTTTCCTCAGGTGGTAATATAAGACAAGGTGATGATGTCACAGGGCAGTTTGTGAAGGTAAATTAAGTCAGGTAAGAAGAACAACTCAATGTGTCTTTTGGACTACTAGTACTTTTGAATAGTGCCTTTCAATAGGCCATGACCACTTCCTCTCTCATCCTCTCCAGATTGTAGTAATTCTTTTGTCTTATTTATTTTTAATTTTTTCTCCAGGTGGTACATTGTTATTAAATGCCCTGTGAATCAGCCAACTTTTCAGGAAGGTGTAACTGTATCACCTTCGTGTTCGTACAAGGCACTGGAGGGAGATGCGTCTCTTGTTCGCAGGGTCCATTCGTGCACATTGCCAGCATCACTGCTACACTGCTGTCAAAGCTGGTGACGTCATTTCAGGGAATCTATGAAAATGAGTCTCGTAACTGCGAGATGCTGGCTGCCGCGTGTGCCGTGGGTGTTGCCAGCTGTTTTGCTGCTCCCATCGGAGGTGAGCTAAGCTTATAAATCTTAGCTCTGTGAATTATTCAATCTCATTAGAAACAATTTAACTTGGTTAATATGTCTGTGTTGTTTTAAAAACTTCAGTAGCCAAGCGAATCAGAATAGCAAGTGAACAAAGTTCACAAGTCATTCAGACTGTCATATGTGGTTCAGATGGGGCCTGAAGCATCACATTTGTCCCTCTGGTAACACTTTGTACTCCCCTTTGTTCATATTTTGTTTTGGAGGATAATTTGTAAATCTTAGTTAAGGAATAGCACAGCCATGATGCAATAATCACCCTGATGATGGAGGAAGCAAGGACGTCTGAAATGTTGGTAAACTTCTACCAGACTACATGGCACTACAACCAAAAAAGACAGCCATCTTCATACCTGCCTCCATGAGAACCTGAAATCGTACCTATTGTGATGTTGATTCATCACCTGATTGGTCGGTCGGTCGTTGAATTGTTGGCTATGTTTGCTGTTGTTTTGTTTGTCTGCCTGTGTAACAGAAGCGTAAAGAACTGAGCTTGAGGCTGGACCGACCAAGACACGCAGATGTCATGTCCTCCAAACCTCATGTAATGGTTGCATTTTATACTCTTGTACCCCAATGTGTTGGCAGGTGTTCTGTTTAGTATAGAGGTCACCACAGTGTACTTTGCAGTGCGGAACTACTGGCGTGGGTTCTTCGCTGCTGTGTGCGGAGCCACTGTTTTCAGATTGTTGGCGGTCTGGTTTCAGAAGGAAGGTGAGTGTAGCCATTGAGCAGAATCATGTGAAAAGAGCTGAACCTTCACCACTGTGCGTACTCCATGTTAGAATATTCCAAAGAAGGGAGCTTCACATTTACAATGAAAAATGTAGAATTTAGTGGAATCGGTTAATGGTAGAGTAGCTTTGATGTAGCGTATGGACTGGAAATTAAATCACGTTACTTTGGTGCCACATGCCAACTCCTTACAATAATGAAACAGTCTGGTAATAATATACTTCCAGGGTTCTCAAGCGCTCCACTCAGTCGCATTGCCATGATGATTGTGTGCAGTGTGTTTGTTTTTCTTCCTGTGCAGCCACTGTGACAGCCGTGTATGCAACCAGCTTCACGATGGACTTCCCGTTTGACCCTCAGGAACTCATCGTGTTTGCTCTCATAGGGTGAGTGACCGTGCACTTCCGACGTAGTCCCCAAGATCAGAAAACAATTACTTTATTTGTATACTTACATGTTGTTTTGTGTAGATGTGAAATTTGTTCTTTTCATGGCATATTATTAAGGTAGTTAAATTAAGAAGAGTTAGATTGGTAGCGCATGTAGCACACATGGGGAGGATGAAAAATGCGTACAGAAATTTCGTGGGATCATGAAAAGATAATTGGTTTCACTTTGGCACGAGTGGGAGGATGATTTTAGATAGAATCTTAAGCAAGTATTATGCGAGGGTGTGGACTGGATGCAACTGGCATGGGATAGTGTTCACTGGCAGGTTGTTGTAAATGTGGTGATGAATCTCAGTTTTATAAAACCAGGAATCTTCTGACCAGCTGTGCAAGTAAACGTGTTTCAAGCAGGAACATGAACTGTAGAGTTAGTAGAAGGTGAATCTCCGCTCTGCCCTACATTAAGTTATGTATGAGTTTGTCTTATGTTTATATCCTGGAAGACAGTTTTAAAGGTGTTCCTGTGACAATATTGTAAACAGTTTAACACATGTCATTTTCAGAACTTTTAAACCGTAAAACAGTTTATTGCTACGTCTCTCCAATGTGAGATGTAAATTGCTCTTTGAAACAGGTTATGTAAATCAGTGTATTGTTACTGTGAAATCTTAGACACCATATTACAATATTTGTATTTTTTTTTGTTGTTTGGGGGGGGGGGGGGAAGTTCCCATTTTCTTGTATTCCCAATGTTTTGCTGTATAATTCTAGACCTCCCCTTTCTCGCTGTATGTTTATCGTTACTGATCATTTCAGTGTTGTGTTCTCAGTGCCATCTCAGGGCTGGGTGGAGCCATGTATGTGTGGGTACACCGACAGTATGTTCTATTCATGCGGCGGAACAAGAAGATGACTGCTTTCCTACAGAAGAAGTAAGTTGGCCAGATTCTTTCAACTCTTTGTGTGTGTGTGTGTGCGACATTTTCCTGTGGATGCGGGTGGCGATATTCCCTTCTTTCCTTCACAGATCTGTCTCAATCAGCCAGTATTAATTTATCTGCTAAAAAGAATTCTTTGCTATTATGAAAACAAAATATTCATCACTCTACCACAAAAGCCTACTTTTGCAGTCAGAATTTCAACTTCCTTTGTGGGTATGTGGAAATCTCCATGTAGCCAGTCAGAGGTGACAGGGTATTGATGTTGTTACCGAGCGTTTTCTTGTGGTGCAGCCGGTTCCTGTATCCGGGGATCGTGTCGCTGGTGGTGGCGTCTGTGTCGTTCCCTCTTGGGCTTGGTCAGTTCATGGCAGGAGACCTAAGCTCTCATGACCAGGTGAGTGGCATGTCCTGCTGCCTGATGAGATGCAGAACACTTTGCATAGCTCACGCACTGAAGTGAACTATTCTCATATGCTTGCAAAAGAATTCCAGAATTCCTCTCATAAGATTCAGAGAGAGCCTTGTGACCTATTAGTTTGTGTATACCTTTGATTAAATTATTTGTTTTATATTATGTATGATTTTAATTCAATTTTTCTTTATTAGAACCTTCTTTTCTGTCCTAATGTGTCAGGGCTGGGAATAAATTCAGAAACTTGCATTACTTTCACACTGCTCCAGTCTCATTCAACATTTGTGAATAAGGAAAGTGCCTTCAATCTGCTTCCTATCCTTTTGAACAAAATCTGTAGGAAAATGTAAATATTTTGGCAGTGTTAGTTTTGTAAATCGTAAAATTTTGCAGAGTAACACAAAATAAATGTATTAAAATTTATTTCTTCCTCATCTTCCTAGAGAGCAGTTTCACCCGTTAATGCAGACGTCCATAGCTGTACTGACATTGTGTAAAGTCTGCCGTCCATCTTTTATAAACAAATATCTTATCTGCAGTGCCTTAAATAGTGAAAGTTCTAGCATACAGCAGAGTGTTTGTCTGTTACCAGGTAGCAGGCCTGTTCACCAACTTCACATGGACCAAGGAACCCCTTAATGTGCAGGAATCAGACATCGTAAGGCACTGGGCAACTCCTTACACTGGTGTGTTCACTAGTCTCGCTGGCTTTACTGTCTTCAATGTGAGTTGAGCCATCTGGCATTCTGCCTTCTTATAGAACTGTTAGAAGAGATCGACATTTAGCTAGTTGAGAATTTCTAAATGCATTGGAAATCGATGGCATGCTGTGATTACTGACCAAGTGACTTACTCCAAGGAACAGAATCCATCTTGAGAACCTGGCAGTCAAGAAATTATCTTTGTTTAAAAAAACTGCAGGTTTATTACCACGTTCAAAAGAGCTCACCACTGCGCCCTATTATAGTTATTTTTTCTGTACTGTCTGTGACTGACAAGCAACAGCCATCTATAGACATGATAAAACTGCAGTCTGTCCAAAGAGAAGTTAAATGAAATTTATTGTCAATGACCATTGATGAAATTCAGTAATGAACTTGGTATTTATCTGTCACGGACATTTCAAGTTGTGCCGAGTAAATTCCTACGCACATTTGCTGTGCAGCTTCCCTCCTCCCACTTTAAATTTCCTTTCATTGCAGTTTATCTTCTCCATCATTGGATCAACAATTCCTGTTCCATCAGGAAGCTTCATTCCTGTGTTTAAAATTGGTGCTTCCATAGGTCGAATGATAGGCGAAGCGATGCACCTCTGGTTTCCACAGGGTGTCCATTATGGCAGTGTGGTAGCCCCGATCATACCAGGTAACAGCTCAGCAGCTCACGTACGTTTGGCGAAAGCTTTTGGTATCACTGTATTGAACACTCCTGTCACCCCTCCTCATAGTTTTCACACAATCATTGAATTATCACGAGTATAATTATAAGTTTAATCCTTTAAATAAAAATATCTTGAAGAAGGAATTTATAGTTTATGTACAATTTTTATAACATTTTGTGGGTGTTCATGTACGAAGTATGAAATAACAAGTCTTAATTTAGAACATTAGCGCCAAATTTTATAAAAGTACATTTAGGAGTTTTGAAGCAGAAATTTGTAATCCCAATGAGTTTTATATTCTGCAGGGGGCTACGCAACCGTGGGCGCTGCTGCGTTCTCAGGAGCAGTGACACACACTATCTCCGTGTCGGTGATCGTGTTTGAGATGACAGGCCAGATCACTCATATCATCCCCATCATGGTAAGTTGGTAGCATCGCAGTCCTGTACATGAAGCATGTGGAACCTGCCTTGGACATCATGAAAAAATTGTTAGCAACTTCATTTGATTTTTCATGGTTCTTCCCAGTTCCTGCAGAAAGGCACTGTAATAGTTGGTTAGAATAGAAATCCACCCATTTCATCCAGTTATCCTCCCATTAAGCACTGTGTTGATGGCCCAGTTTGAAATTATTGTGATAATTAAACCAAGAAATAAACAACATAAGAAAAGGAAGATGGCTGTCTTCTGGGTTGTAACACTGTGTGGTCTGGTAGAAGTCGCGCTGATGATGGAGGCAGCAAGGACATCTGAAACATTGGTAAACTTCTGCCAGACTGCATGTTGCTACAACCCAGAAGACAGCCATCTTTGTGCTCACCACTGTGAAAACCTCAAATCCTACAAGATAAGAGAGCCCGTTGTTTTCTGACAAAATTTAGTCGTGATAGACAAGCTTGGAGACGATGGACGGAGTTATTATATTGAACTATTTTGTGATTTATGTCACAAAATACAGTTCGTGCTTAAAAGACTTCTTTCATCTCCTCTCACGTATGTCATTGCCTTATGTGAGATGTGTATTGCAGATTGCAGTTCTGATTTCAAACGCAATTGCCGCGCTACTACAGCCATCGTTGTATGACAGCATCATCCTCATCAAGAAGTTGCCATATTTGCCTGATCTGCTGCCATCCAGTTCAAGTAAGTCGATGACTGATGTGTTGAGACTGTACTGAACTCTTTCACTGTATGTGCCAATGTGCTGATCGCAGAGTCCAGCGACTAAAAGCATGAACTTTAATGGTACTGACATTTCCTAATGGTTACGCTGCTGTGGTGATTTGGTTGCCAGGTGACAGGGTACAGCACCTACCAACATTTCAGTTCACTGTGTATGACGGAGGATATGTAATGTGTTCTGCTTCTTTGTGTGTTCAGGGCATTTAACGTCTGAGCAGATTGGCCGTCTCACAAGGGTCAGTTCTGGTTGTATCTAGTCACTCAGTGTTGTTATACTGGGCCATGTATGTGTCTACTATGGAGGAGACTGGGAATGCACATGGATATTTTAAAATATCTGCTTAGGAAGTTGGATTCGAGGTTCTTATGGTGGTTAGTACGAAGATGGCTGTCTTGTGGATTGTATCGCCACGTAGTATGGTAGAAGTTTACTGACGTTTCGGAGGTCCTTGTTGCCTCGATGATGAGGGTGATGAGTAATGATGGAGGCAGCAGGGACCTCTGAAATGTTGGTAAACTTGTACCAGACTACAGTGCAACAACCCAGAAGACAGGTGTCTCCATCTACTTAGAAAACCAAGAAGAAAATGAAAAGTTAAACTTATGGCAAATTTTAGTAAAAGCAGTTGTCAATGTGGGAGGTGGCTGGAAATGACTTGGGACATGTTCAGTATTAATGATGTTTGCAAATCTAATGTTGCTGTGTGTATCAGAGATGTACAGCGTGTACGTTGAGGATTTCATGGTGCGGGATGTCAAGTACATCTGGCATGGTATGAGCTATGGCAAGCTGAAGGAGATGCTGAAGGAGAACCGCAATCTGAGGGGCTTCCCCCTGGTGGACAACCCTGGTGAGTGCAGAGTACTGTTGGAAACAGTCATGTCATTCTCCCACCAAGCCACTCTCCTTTGTTATCGCAGTTCTCCCCCTCCCTTTCACTGTGCATTATTTTTATACTGCTTTTGCAAAAGAGTGTAATTTTAAGGAAAAACCTAATTGTTCTGTGGTGGTTAGATTATTGTGTATTCATATAAATGAAAATATAAAAAATTACCAAAACATCTATCAGTGGCTCAGTGTTCTATTTACAAAACATTTTTTTAGATGGTATAACTGTTTAATACTGAGCAACGTCAACATCAATGTCAAAACGATGCTCAAAACACAGCATGTTCTACACCATGGTAGCAGTGTGACATTCATATACAACTTACCTCTCTTCAGACTAGAGTACAGCACTAAGCAGGCCATCAAGAATGTGTTTTTCAGACAGCAAAGTCAGATGTCGCAGTAGTAGGCCAAATATGTTATGTTTCTCATTACAGTTTCATTTATCTTGACATTTAGTGGATATTTTTAATTCTCCTGCTCCTGACCTTTGCATCCTGGTTACCTCTCATCCACAGGATCCATGATCTTGCTGGGTTCTATTCAGCGCTTGGAGCTCATCAAACTCATTGAGCGGCACATCGGACGGGAGCGACGACTGCAGGTGGCTGCCAAGTGGCAGAAGGAAGCACAAGAAAGGTGAGAAGAATTTATTCAGCCATTTCTGTTGTGTAGGTGCTTCGTGGCTGAAATACTGAGTGATATAGGACATAGGAAAGCTCAAGAACAAGAGTGGAGAGGAGCTTCATGATTAATAAATCAAGGACGATGACATGAATGGGGCATTCAGCACACAGGGGAAGAGAAATGCTGGCAAAATTTTGATAAAGAAACCTCAAGGAAGAGGTCATGTCATGTATATAGGATGATAATATTAAAACTGAACTTAGAGAAATATATATTTTCATATTTTCAGTCATGATCAGTAACCGCATGACTGACCCTGCAGTGGGGGCAGTCTGAAGACAATTGAAGTTTTGTGGTGTGAAATATTTCTTAAAAGTATGCAGTGTTCGTTTATGTGAGTGCATTTGTTAAAAGTGCAGTTTGTTCTGCCGCAGAGCCAAGGAGGAGATGGAGCGAAAGTTGTGGGAAGAGTCACAGAGACAGCGGCGACCGTCTCGATTTGAGGTGATTCCTGCGCCCGACATTTTGAAGCTGCGACAGCACTCCACCAGCGCCCTGATCTCACCCAGTAATCTTGTAGGAGGGGATGCCAATGGGGTGAGTGGACCATGGTCAAATTTGAATATTAGATGCAAGGGTGTTGCTGGAAGGGCAGCAGATTTTGTGTGAGGGACCTAAGGAAGTAGCATCTAACCATTAGTTTCTGATGTGACAGATATTAACTGGTCAGCTGCCAGCTATATTAGTTGCAAAGTTTGTTTATATAGCTAATGAGTTCAGATACCTACTTTGCTTTGTGTTCCTTGGAGCTAGTCATTTTTCTGAATGGGCGGTATATCTTTCATGTTCCAGTGCAACCCAGTGTTTGGCAGTCAACCAAAGAAGTCAATTCTCAAAAAAACAAACTCCTTCACACTGCGCAGCTTCAGCCCTTTGACAAGCC